CTCTGAAATGACGCATAATATGTGTTAAACACTTTTGTTTAGATGGGACAATAAACTTTTTTAGAATTTCATCTACATATCATTTTTCAGAATTGACGAAAAGGGAAGAAATTCATTAAAAGTAAGGAAAAATATAAAACAAACCCCAGTGGATGTTGTAAGACAGACATCAATAATTCAACAGCTAAAGCTGATCCTATCATAGATATACCAGGTCTTGTTACTGTACATTGTTGATCTAAACTACGATCTCTTGTGGACTACAACAGATAACATTACATTACATTCATACTACCTCCACTTGCTTCATTTCAATATCCAAAAATAATTAACTCATTTAATTAATTCATCCAAATTGAAACTGCAGTCTCGGTGACATACACATATAAAACTTAATGAGCAATTAAAAATGACCTAAACAAAAAGGTGAATAAAAAAATGTCAATTTTGGGGGGATCACAATTCACCAATTCATCAAGTTACATGACAATGTTGAATCTTTATGTGTGTGACTTAAAATAGTTTGGTTTTTCTTCAGAAAGGAAAAAAGATAGCAACTAAGTTTAATCATGCTGAACATTTTATCTAAAGAGAAAATAAAGTTACTCACATCTCCTGGTGCTACCACATCATTACAGAAATAACAGCCTAACTGATCTCCAGGAATCACTTCTCCCAGTTTTATTTTAGTACCATCTACACCTGTATCTGATTTATAACCATGTCGTAATACTAAATATGTATCAAATCCTAATGCTGCATTAATAACAATCTATATAAAATACAGGATAACAATCTATAAGATAGAGGATAACAATCTATATAAAATACAGGATAACAATCTATATAAAATACAGGATAACAAACTATATAAATACAGGATAACAAACTATAAATACAGGATAACAATCTATATAAATACAGGATAACAATCTATATAAATACAGAATAACAAACTATAAATACAGGATAACAATCTATAAGAATGCAGGATAACAATCTATATAAGATACAGGATAACAATCTATATAAGATACAGGATAACAATCTATATAAATACAGAATAACAATCTATAAGAATACAGGATAACAATCTATATAAAATACAGAATAAAAAAAATATAAATACAGTATAACAAACTATAAATACAGGATAACAATCTATAAATACAGGATAACAATCTATATAAAATACAGGATAACAAACTATAAATACAGGATAACAATCTATAAGAATGCAGGATAACAATCTATATAAGATACAGGATAACAATATATATAAGATACAGGATAACAATCTATATAAGATACAGGATAACAATCTATATAAATACAGAATAACAAACTATATAAAATACAGGATAACAATCTATATAAGATACAGGATAACAAACTAAAAATACAGGATAACAATCTATAAGAATACAGGATAACAATCTATATAAAATACAGAATAAAAAAAAATATAAATACAGGATAACAAACTATAAATACAGGATAACAATCTATAAATACAGGATAACAATCTATATAAAATACAGGATAACAAACTATAAATACAGGATAACAAACTATATAAAATACAGAATAACAAACTATAAATACAGGATAAAAAATATAAATACAGGATAACAAACTATAAATACAGGATAACAAACTATATAAAATACATAGTAAATTATCTTATAGTACTTAACCATGTTAACAACTTACAATTTTTGATTTATCACATAGTACCGTACTTAACCATGTTAACACATGGATTTATCACATAGTACCGTACTTAACCATGTTAACAACTTACAATTTTTGATTTATCACATAGTACCGTACTTAACCATGTTAACACATTGATTTATTAATAATACTTCTCTTATGTTTTATAAACCTTACTAATTTAGCTATCTACTTACTTTTTGTTTAACAGCCCCTAATAAAGTTGGAAGCCACCGACTTTCTCTTGTATCCATCAACAAAAATACAGCATCATGTTTATCTATTAAATCTTCTAATGTTTCTATATCTTTCTTAGTCTGACTTAAACATTCTGGATCTTATATAATAAAAAAGAAGAGATTCCTCCTTTAAAACATTAACGTAACGTTGACACAATATACAAATTGGTATTATATATCATTCTGTCTGGTATTCCACAAACATAGCACTTTCTCATATGTACAAATTAAATATATATATGGAACATTTGATCAGTGGTGGAGCAAATGGGAGTGGGAGTAGAGGGGTGGGGAACTTTACCCCCACTTCATTTCTAACGAATTAAAAAGTATCTTTTTTACTTTTATGTGAGAAAATATATGTAAAAATGAGTTGGAAGTGGAATTTATCACTGGTCAATTGCAAGATGGGAAACCCGATTCTCAAGAGCCTGACACCAGGACTGCAGGACTAAAATAAAATATACCTGTTATTGCATGTCCAGGCATTGGTATACTTAAACTAAGACCTAAAGCATTCTGAAATTATAGGGAAATATTGATTAATATAGGACAACTCAATCCTGAAAGATGAACATTTATAATCCTTCAATACATTTAGTAATAACATATAAGATAGTCTGAATAGAAAGAACTTGCTCCGGATATTATATCTGAAATTTCAGAGATTGGCTCTGGGAAAATAGATACATTAAGCCATAAGATATTATGACTGGCTGAAACACTGTCAGAGTGTTGGAATGGTGGTTGTGGGGTTCTAATCTGGGTTGGCGTGTAAAGGTCTGGTAGCCCTGAAAAATTCATCTTTCCTCATTATTCCAGTCGACCCAGCTGCAAATGGGTATGGATAATCCAGAAAAATGCTAAGTGCTTTTGCAATGGACCAGGTGGGAGAAAGGGTACTATAAATATCAAAACGTACAACACCAGGAAATATTTGTCTCATTGAGTTTGCTGCAGCTTCTGCTTTAGCTTTTCCACCATTTAAACAGTCTTGAAATATAAATAATGATTGTCTGACAGGATTAGAATAGGATACTTTAGAATTATCTACTAATGTGATGTTCTTTACTCCCCAACCCTAAAATAACATCAAAAAATTGTTTAAATATTAATATCCTGCAATTTCATTTAAAATAATGCACAAAAATTAAACTGTCTGGAATATGTTGACATTAAAGTTAAAAAAAAAGGGATAATACATGCATATTACAGCAATCCCTACTCGAGTCCCATTAAATTAGGTCATAGAAAGTTTGGGTCAAAAAGATTAAACAGACCATCAAACAAAATGAAATGAATGGAGTTTTACATCCTACTTTTCTGCACCTTGTGGGCTAATGAAGACGGACAACGCCATGCAGGGTGCAATGAGGGAAATTTTGCAAGGACAGCAGCTGTCCAACTGTTGAGGGATCTTCAACTTTCACAGCCTGTAGCACACGTGGCCTCGGTGTATTGTCCCATCTGAACTATTACCAGCATCACTCACAGGGGGAACTGGGTTGAAATAACCAAAGGTATCATCTCGACCTATGCCAGAATTGAACCCTGGACCCTCAGGTTAGTGAGCAAGCGTCTAAATCACTGAGCCACTGCGGCTTCCAGACCATCAAACAATAGCCAACTTGTGGTTCCTTGTAACAAGGTTTGCAGTTTATAAAGAAATTCCTATGTCTGAAAATATCAATGTTAAAAAGAGCATACCATAAGACAGCGTGCAACATTACAACCTAATGTACCAGATCCTAACAACAGACATTTTGTAGAAGAGATCTTATCAAGGTCAAGGTCAGGTAGCAGTCGCCATCTCATTAGTTTTAAATTCAGATCAACAGCTGATGCACATAATCTGCAATAAAAACACATTTGGAATTGAATACAATTGATTGCAACTAAAAATTGGTTTATTGTCCCATCTGAACGACTAGATGTTTTATCCATGTCAGTCCCTCTTACCTCCATCACTGACAGGGGGTGACCAGGTTTAAATTTCAAAGGTATATTATCTTGACTTATGCCAGTAGCTCCCTGGGGTACATCAGAGACACTACGCTATGTGACTAGCTTTCCAATACCACGTTGATCATAATCAGCAATCACTTATCATGATGACATCATATATAATATAACAAATACCTGCTAGGGTCCATGGTAGCACTTAGATTGACCATCCTTGGTCCTAACTTCTGTTTTTCATTCTTCTCCCAGCCAACACATTTGGGACAAGCTGTAATGTCAATGATGAAGGAGGTATTAACTATATAAAGAATATTCATGTTGAGATGAGGTGTAAATATAATGATATCAGCATCAATTCAAGAACAGACCAACTCTAATTTAGGCAGGTTAACACTCACTGAGTGGAATAGTTCAAACTTTATCATCATTATTTGTACCAGTCAAAAGTCCTAGACAAAAGCTGAACTGAGGTCTCTGAAAACTACTCCCAGATCACTGTGAGCTAAAGATTTGATGGGTTTCATTATCTTCGAATTATAGACCTTATTCACATGTCGACCATATGGAATCCAAAACGAGACACTATGGAAAAAAAAACAAAGGTAACATTGTGTCACTGCATAAATTGTTAATCTAGACTTACTTTCTTTGTCTAATTTTGGTAACTGAACATTCAGCATTAAACTGTGGGATATTTCTCTTTTTCCATCTCGAGATTTGTCACGAAAACATAAAATATTGCACGTCTCTAACTTATCTGCCCTGAAAATATTGGTTATAGCAGTCATAGCGTGTTCCTTACAGGTCAAAGAGGAAATCGGTCAGGAGGTAAATTTGTTATATAAAAATAGATTTTAACTTGTTCCCCATTACAATTGAAATTCCTTAAGAAAAATCCCACATGCATTAATAACAAAAATAATATGCTTGGAAAATATTGGTGCTCTATACGTGAATTCTCATACAGTGGAGTCGCGTTTATTCGGTTGTCGATAATCCAGAAAAACCAGTGTTCGTGACACTTGATGGGTTTCCTAATAGGCAGGGACATAACTCTAGTTTTTATAGGGAACAGGAATGTGGGGATAAAAGATGGTTCCACTGTACTCACTGAACTGTGCTATAATTGTATGGTTAATACTTACCATGTATAAGCTATAAGGAGCAGGAAATTTCTCAAGGGCCATCCTGGATGGTTTTCTAATGTACAGGGATCACAGAACGAAAATGCTATCTAAAATAAAATGATTAGGATCTCATATACTACGGTAGGCTTAGTATAAAGCATGTTCCAATTACAATGATTACCCACATCCAACCTTGCTTTCACAATCCCATATTCTCATCATTAATTTTGATTGGTAGAGAATTTTCTTCTCGACCAATAAGATTCTTCCAAACAAAATATTGGAGGAAAATGTTTGAATAACCAGACGCAAAATTTTAAGTACCAAATTCCTATTAATTGAGTCTCAAAGTTCATGGTTGAGTTATTGTCAAAAGCCAAACAATTTTTATAGTTTTCAGAGGAGGAATGAAAAGAATTTCTTCTTTAAACTTTAGGCTTATGCTTTTTCCAAATATTCATATCTATATTATATGACAAAGCAAGTACGACTACACAAACAAATTATGTCCCCTCCAACTACTATAACCATAAAAAACACACCTGAAAACTTTGAAAATTTATTTACAATGGAATTAAGAGTAAGATTTCTCTGAAATTTTTTGTAAATATTAAGGAAACTTGTGAGCAACTTTTTTCCAAGTTTCACATTGATCATGATAAACTTCATAAACAGACCCTGTTCTCTGTAATTATCAGCAGAATGTTCCTGCTTAAAACATAAACAGACCTACTTGTTTTCCTTCGGCAATAAGTTGATCTACAGATCTTAAATCATGAAAAGTGAATAATTCATTGTCTTGAGACATAACAAAATAACTCTGATATGATTTGCTCTGAAACTCATCATAGCTCACAGCTAGTTGGTGGACCTAGAATAAAAATATAATAACGTAACTCATAACTCATTATAACTGATAGCTAGTTGGTTGACCAGAAAATCATGTCATAAAATAACCTAAAAAAAAATATCATAATATATGTATAATAACTCAAAGCTTGTTATAATGAATGATATAGATAATAAAATATATTGTTTTTACCTGTTGTTCAGAATATAAATCAGATATTGTTTGTGATTTAGATGTAACATTATAGATTAGAGCTGGGAAAGCAAACCAATAATAATAATGGTACTTTTTTAAATCCTGAAAAATGATCAGTTTACCAATAAATTATACAATTTTAATGGAATAAGGATTCATGATGCATGATATTTTCATATTTTTTCCAAAAAACGGATGACTTAATGTCATGTCATGTAATTTACCACCTATATGCTATACAATCTTACCACAGTTTACACTTTCTCTACGTAAATAACTCATACTGTAGTGTCTAAGGTTTTCAAGAACCAATATTGGAGGGCTAGGGGGGATCTACAATCTACATCATAATGTGGTGACTCCAAAGAAAAAAAGGCCTTCCCCCATTTTGGAAAGGAGGATTTATCATAAAAGTGTGAACTTACAGCATAAGCTAGTAAAATAAACCGGGATAATAATGTTGGATCTTCTACAGCTTTTCCTGTTTTAATATCTTGCCATATCTACATGAAATAATATGAGTAATATTTTGAAGGCCAATAACACAGGTTTTATTTAACAACCATTTTGCTGAAAATAAGAGTATTATGACACACTATCGTAAAAACTGCTGATAATATCTTAGGGCTTTAGCAATAGTGATGTTATAACAAGCTTATTTTCATTAGAATTGCAAGAACCACAGATGAAAATTGGAATGGTGCTAATCGATGCTCAAAATGTTTCTATAACAATAATAATACTTCACTGATGCAAATGAAACATGAACCTAAATGACCTGATTTGCCTTTTCTTCCAATAGCAATTTTTTATCACATTCTTTAAAACCTTCTATAGTATTTTTCAAATATAACACCCCATGGCTAATGAAACTTCTGGCTGGTGTTTTAAACAGTCTGAAATAATAAATAAGGATAAGACAACTGAACTGTATATTTTTGAGTTTGATTCATCTATATTGATGGTGTATACATGTACAAGATGAAACAAGACTTGTTTTCACAAGACAAGAGCTTCTAAGACCTATTTTAAAATGGAAACTTTAGGCGGATGCAAGTAATCATACTTGAAGAACCTGTAGCAATAACAATTTACTTAAATCTAACCATGGACAGGCTTGATGCTAACCCAGAGGGGGGCAAACGTTTTAAAGGTGGCTCAACTATGTGACGCCAGTAATTCAGGCCATCTAAATGCCCCCCCACTCTCTCCTTCCTTACCTTCGGGTCTGACCATGATTAATTTTAAATAGCTTATCTTTAATGGTACATACCTATCAAAACACGTATAGTCCACATTCAATATTGGATTCTGGTTCCTTATATCGCCTGTAAAATAATGAAGATTCACATAAACTCATAGACTGGCTTTACATTTTCGGTTAAATTAAGATAAAGTATGGTGTGGAAATCAACAGATGAACAGGGCACTTGTGTGGAATACAACTTAGTAGGTAAGGTGGAAACAGAGATGAAAAAACTAGAAGAGAAACTGAGTAGGAACTAAAACAAATCTCACCATTGTAGTAGAAACCACTGATATCTTTGGAACTTTCATCCAAAGCATATTCATTTAATTTTTTCTCTGACAACTTTGGCCAAAATCCAGCATCAAGACCGCTACTGAAAGGAGCGAACTGTAAACTTTCCATTCTGTGTCAAAATCTTAAAATATATTTTTGGTAAATTATTCCTTTAAAAGTTTTTTTGATACATTTTTTTAGCAGAGTCCACTACTACAATTTGTTTACTAAAATTGGGCGTTCATCATGAAGTCTCACGTGATGTCTTAAAATAGACTAGACTTGATTGTCAAGAAAGACAAATACATAAACGTTTATCAAAAGTCTGGATGTTAAAGCCTTTAGACGCACTTGTTTATTTTAATAAATCGCTCACTTATGAAGAATACTATTTTGTCAAAAAAACCTCCTGGATTGCGTCGGTAGACGCAGATGCAAAACCAAATAGAATTAAAAGATAACTGATTTATCAATTTTCTGTAAAAAAAATTATTCATCACTAGACTAAGATATAACCCTTATCAATTTCTTCATAACTTTAAATGAAGTGCAATCTTTGTTTACATTCATGCTTTTCAAATTTTAATTTAGCCGTGTATTTCAACTTAGGCTTAAAAAGACTTGAATAGAAATTAAGACTTTACTTCATGCCAAGAATTAGGCTGCTAATTAGCCATGGTAACGGTGGCTCTACCACGTAGACCTAGATCTAACTAATATTCCTTATCAAGGTCTAGTTTGTACGTAAAATAAAAATTCAAATAAAATGAAAAAATAAGGAATAGGCTTTCGTCTTTATTACCCCTCTCCCTTTATTACCATTCTCCCCTCTATTACCCCTCTCCCCACAGTAATGAATGGTCTTAGTAGGGTCAGAAAAACTAGGTCTTCTTTTATGCCGATTTTTGCGTTTCACCTGAGATGAGAAAAATGGCATGCAATTGAATTGATCTATTTGTGAATGAGAGAAAAATTCAATTCTGATACCATGACAATATGGTTAATTTTCAATGTGATTCACTTGCAGGTTTATATAATTAACAGTTAAAGAAGATGAGGGTTTTAATTATGGTATTATGGCTAACTGGTCTCGGCCATTCATCTCCCAATACATTTGATACAGCCAGGTATGAAGAAGGCAAAAAACAATTTCAACTGATACAACAGAACTCAGAAATGCCGAAATATGGAATTTGTTGGAAGAATGCTATGTTTAGTATTAAGAGTGGATGTAAACAGTTGAGTGATGAAGTGCAAAGCTTTTTGGCACTGTCTTATCTGAATTGTTTCTTGGCACTACAGGGCAGAAATACTTATGATTGTGAAAAAGGTGAACCTATCAAATCATGCACATCCAACATGGCTGATGCTGATCGAAGCTCGTTCACAACCATGTTTACTCATACACAAAATATCTGCTATTTTTTACAAGCCCAAATATGGCATGAAGAAATGGATTTGACTATTGACAGATTAGCAAATAGCTCATCACATGTTGGCCAACAACTAGAAGAATCATTTCGAATGCAACTAGACATGATCCAGCATCAGAATGAAAGTTTAAAAAATCAAAAAAAAATCATCAACCAAGCTCTAGATTTAAGAGTTCTAATCAATGATGTGTTTGACCGAGTTTCGAAGTTACAGTCCCTGGTTCTTGGAGAGTTTTCAGGATTTTATTCCATTATTTATTACATGTTTTCAATTATATTGTGTTATTTATTAACTTCAACGCCTAGAACTAGTGGTGCCAGATTTTGGTTATTTGCTGTAATGACTGTTAATATGTTGTTGGAACAGACTCTAATAATTTATACACCACAAATATTCATCACTGATATTCCTATATTTAAAGATGAAGAGGTATGTATTATCCAGTATCTTGTTTTTAAGATTTTAAACCTCATTAGATTACATGTATATTTTTGATATAGCCACTTCCGTTGGGGTCTAAAGACGGCCTTCGTGAATGTTTGTCAGTTTAATGACGCAGCCAGCCTATTATTATTTCTAACTAAAGAGGCTATATATTAAAATAAAAGTTAAAAATATGGAAAGAAAGTTTGGTCTAATTTTGATTAGACTGGTCATTTGATAAAGAGGAATTATGGCTGTATTGGCATTATAATTTAACCCCTTTGTGTCAAAATTTTTAGAATCAAAAGGATGACATTAGGCGTAGTGACACAACTTTCAATCATTAATATGTTTTACTAATGTTCTAGATTATCTTTCACTATCTTACTGTATCTTATGTTATTAAGACAAAATAATTCATTCTCTATAAAAACATGTTAGATATATTGGTTATTTCAGGAATTGATTTTTAGTTGTCAAAGAATGTTAAGGAAGATATCAGCTGTAATTGGTTTATTGATAATGGCTAACATGGCGTATAAATATCAAGATTTAGATACTCTGAACAGTCAACTACTTGTCGAAATAAGCAGACAAAATTCAGATATTAAACAACTGTTCTTGAATGGTAATATCTGTATACAGTGTACTCCTTGATATCCGACATCACTTTCTGGTCCCGATTGATTTCCTTCTTAGGCTAGTTTAAGAAACTCTGAGTACTCCGACACTATGTTTAATTATAGTGTGTTGTTTTATCAAAAGATTAACGCTGCCATAAATTTGGGTGTCATGTGGGACTAACCACCAGTTATATCATTTAGAGGTTCCCAAATGAATGAATGAAGAGAAAGACTTAAAGGGATTCTAGTTTTGTGTTTTATTTGAAAATTACTTTTTTTAACTTAAGGTTCAGTTTCCCCATCCAAGGCAGCATTAGATTATACAGACACTCCTCTACCAGCAACAATAGCCAGAGCTGATTGTAAGATATACTTAATATTTTTCATACTTTTAAATGATCAGGTTTATGGTCTTTATGTTGACGGGCTCACGGAAATAGCTGCATTCCAAGATAAAAGAAAAGTGGCTATTGCAGTTCAGATATATTATGTTAGAAATATTTTCACTTATAGAGACAGATGCACCATTTTTTTTGACCAATCATACTTTAGTCTCAGAAACGGGAATTATTTAGCTAAACCAAGCCAATCAGTAATAGTGTTCATGGCTCACCGTCTAAATTTGAGCCTCCAAATCCATGTATGTCCAGAATATCCGCGATTGAATATTGAAATGACAACTTGTCAATTTAAGATACTCTGTTATATATAGAAAAGATATATATAGAAATAATGAGTAAAATTCCTAGTTTGAAGTATTTTAAAGGAATTATGTGATTTTCGTACATTTCTAGTTCTTCTGAAGACTATTTACATATATTCCAGACTAAAATCAACCCCCAAAATGGCGCACATTTACATTGTTTTTAATTTAAAGAAATGAAAGTTATATAATTATTGTTTTGTTATAAAGCTACTACACATGAAGAAAGAAGTAGTGACAATGTAAGTGGATACAGTAGTGATTATAGTGATTCTACTGATATTAATGGTAGTGATAGAACTTATAATATAGATCACAATGCTGACTCAAACACTGATTCAGACAGTCTTAAAACTGGAACATCACTCACAAGTAATCTATCTCTATTGGAAGAATTAAACCATTTAAGAAATACAACTCCTATACGGCAGATAGAAAATCAGTTATCTTCGTGGATTAATACAGGATATTATCATCGAAATGGTCTTGGTATGTTGGTTTTTTTGAATATTTCTTTCAATCAGTTACTCCACTTGAATGCCAGTTTAGATGAGTTTTAATATATCAAACTTAAAGTTGAAACTTTGTGTGGTTTGTCAGAGGTCAACTTACACCTTTGTCCGGGAAAGGATTTTGGAGTTATTGCCCTTGACATAACCACACATTTTGTTGAAGCCGCTGCAGCAAAAAAAAAACTAGTCATTCCATAAATATATTAGGTATATCAATGCATACTTATAGATCTGAAATGCCCTTTATGTAAAAGCCCTGATGTAAAAAATAATTAAGTATTTATACCAAATTGGTGGTCAGAATTTCTTGTATGAAGAAGTTGTCTATCCTTTTATCAAAGATATTGCCACAGTGTTACCAAAAGACCAGTCTGTAGACCTGATCATTAAGAACCTACGATGTAAAATATATTGGTTAGTTATTTTTTATCTTATGTATGTTATCTTACTATAAATATATTTTATCTACAGATGGAATCGACACCCCTTCAACATCAGTAAGTATATCTCTTATGAAATATAATTTTAAATATTTTACTTTTACTGAGTTTTTCTTTTTTGAAAGGATAATTGAAATTCAATACTATAAAAAATATTTACATCAATTGTAGAGCGATATATAGAAATATTAAAACAGAACCTGAAACATGTTGTTACCCCGAGTTTCAGACTATCTACACCTGTGTCTTTACTGAAGTTTGACATGTTGTACTTGTTCTCGTGTCTTCACTGACAGTTTTTATCCAAACAAATAGTCAATTCAAGTGTGGGATTTCAAATTTCACACATTTTTTGTTTCAGGGCACAAGTATTAACAAACAAAGTCCAAGATATAACTTACGACCTAGAAAAGATCAGAGAGATAATTCCATGACTCATACAGAATCTACTACCAGTTTTCATAAAAAAGTCAAGCATTTAGAGAAAGTAGCCAGAAAAAATAGTCGTTTATCAAGAGCCATGTTTGGTCCTCGTTATTTGACTTCAGTATCTGATAATGAGTAGACTTATCACCAACATGTTGAGTCATATCACCTAGACTACTTCGTGTTCAATTAATTATAATATTCATTAGAGTAATAAACCTTTTTTCTTATTTTTTCTTTTACCACCTGATTGAGGTTAATCTCTGTTAGAATTTATGGGATTCGGGAGACGTTGATAGTATTCGTTACCACCATTCAGATGTTCAGTGTCATACATCTGTTAGTAGTTGAAATTACTATGCTTGATCCTCAGCACAATGGAAGGTAATCTTTAACACTATAGGTTTCTACTGCTTTCTTGCAGACTGTTGATCATGTCATAACAAGACTTGATTAAAAAAAAGTTCGCCTAACAGGGTATCCATTCGACCACACCCAAGCTTTGTTAAATATGATAATCTAACAAGCAGCATGAATCAGATGAAATTGTTTTGCTGTGGTACATTTGTTTAACCAATTGAATTTCCAGTTTTCCAACAGCAAAACAATTCTGTCTTTAGGTCACACTGTGTTTTTATGTCTCTGCTCACTACCAATGTTAAAGGGATGTAAAGAGGTTTTCTAAACTTTTTATGTGTATTGGGATCACTGATAGCATCAATTTGCACTATTCCAATTTTCAATCAGACGTCTCTGGTTCCTGCAATTCCAATAAAACTAATTGATGTATATATTGTTTTAAATACACATAAAACTTTTTAAAAACCTCTTTCCAACCTCTTTATCTAAAATCAAGGGCAATAAAAACTTTCATCCAACAGATCATGAATTTGGAGCACGTCAAGTTTCATCAAAATCCATCTGCAGCTTCTATTTAGGCATCAGGACGTAGAAAAAGAATAAGATATTCTCTGGAAGATTAAAAGTATACTTTATTGAAGTATACATAAAGGAAGGATGATATCAGCTAATTAATTACTAAAATGAATACAATTATAAAACGATTAATTAACACTAATAATGAGTGACTATATACTGATTACATTTAACTTGACAACATCAACATGGCACAATATTGTTGTCAATTTATTCTTTACTTCTTAGACAGAACAATCAAATTAACTTGACAATTTTAAAGCTTCATTAAATAATATCATGTCAAATTAGAGGGAAAATTTGTCAAACGATTTGATCATTGTGTCTAAGCAACACAAGATTATTTCTTAATAAAATTACACTTTGATGATATGAAGTTTGACCCATGGCTTTTGATTTTGTCCTCAGAAGGAAGTTTCACTGTCTACCATGAACAAATTACTGTCTAAAAGATTACTACAAGCTTGATGATTTGCCATTTGTCACTGGTTCTCCAAAATGATTGGATTCTGTCAACTTTTCAATTTTTACAAAAAAGAAAAGTTACACTAAAAGTCCAAGCTGACATCTTTTTTTCAAAATGTAATTTCATTAAAAAAATCAAATGATACTTGCATGATAATGATATTTCAATCCAATATATTAACAAAAGATAGCACTATAAACTATCCAAATATGAACAGGGCATAACGAGATTCGCTAATAATTCCAATTTTCGTTTAAAATTGAAATATTTTCTAAAAGTGTGCCATTCAAAGTTTTAACTAGTGAATTTACAAAATGGTGGCTTTTATATGTAATCAAATATTGAATTTATCAGTAATAATTCTATTGATGAAATAAAATATACAGTTTTTTATTGAATGGAACCTATCTACCATCTTTATAAATAAATACAATGATTCATTCCAAATCGATTCAATATTCTGATCAGAATCTGCTTTCATGCCCTTGTCAAAGAAATATTGATCTTTTACCATTGAATGTTCCATAATATAACGAATGATTTACTAGTACTGTAGGGGAAATGAAATACAGAAGCAAAATGAACAGTTGGTTTGTAATAAAAGTATCATACAATTACATCTTGAAGAATTTTACAACATGAGTATATACAACAATGTAGCAGTATTTTGTTTTTCTTAAAGAATTGAATTAATTTAAACAAGAACTTGTTTGATCTTCAATTGTATTTTATGATTTAATTGATGTATGGATTATGAATGCACCATTTTGTTTTTTATATCTGAACTGGAGCAATAGTAAACAAACTATTTGTGAGAAATGAAAATCTGAACTGGAGCAATAGTAAACAAACTATTTGTGAGAAATGAAAGAAGATAGTAAATACGTTTGGTTTAACTATATGTGAGACAATGTATATATATAAATATGAGTTGTGAATGAAAACATACCTAAAAATATGTCAAATATATCTACATTTTTTGTCTTTTCAAAATTTTCTTTAACAAATAATAAAGTCTTTGTAACAAATTTTTAATCTTTCAACAACAGTCAAAACGAGCGATTTACCCAAATACATACACCCACACAACTGGAGATTACATCATTGTGAAAACCCTTGATCAAAAATTTGATTCTCCCAAATAATTGTTACATATTTTGATTAATATCTTCATCAAACAAGGGAAGAGTCTTTGGAGATGTTAAATTGATCAAGGTGTGGCATCTGGACAAAGCTCGTAGTGACCACACCATATGTTCCTATTATAATATGGCTATATAGTTGTTACCAGTGTATTACTCATCTTCTGTTTTGACTTTTTTCACCATAGCTGCACCGGGCATAGTTACTGGAGTTTTACTGGAATCAAACAAATGTTAAATGTTTACTAATTAACAAATAAATATTAAGATATCATAATCTATGAAGACTAAAATGCCATATCAAGAGCTACAAATCTTCTCCTGAGGTGTCCATTTTAAGTTCAATCTAATACAAATGAGGCAGAAATTTTTTGAAGAAGTTTGGATTACAAGTACATCAACTTGACTTAAATAGGTATTAATTTAATTGCGTAAATAATCCTATAAGACTTACCCATCAGGTCCTGCTGGTAACTTATGCTTTACAGCAACTTTAGCACTTAATGGACTTTGGGAAGCATCTACAATAAAATAAAACAGTTATATATATATATATATATATATATTGTTATAGCAAATGTAAAACTTTTAAAATTTATATTTCTAAAATTATCAAAATAAACACTTTCTAGAATTATTAGAACTGCCCTCTGACTAGGGCTAAAACATTCGAATAAATAAACGAAAGTTTTAAAATAGGAAACATTTTGAAAAATTTATCGTATTTTATAAATAAAGTAAAAGATAAAAATAAAAGTTGTTTCTTTTTACGTTTGTCTTCAAATTGGTTAATTTTAATTGATAACACTTTTTATATTTGAAATTTTCGAAAAATTCTGATTGAAAACTTTGAAAAAAGGTTAAAATTTTGAATTCACTAACCTTGAAGCCACCTGACTTGAGTAGCTGGACCATAACCTTTCTCATTACGAGCTGCTATTCGGAATATAATGGCTGGTTTGGTGGTGTAATCTATATGTGCTGATGTTAAACTAGCTGATGTTACTATACAGGATGGATTTGGTCCACAATAAACACGAACAAAAGCTAATTGAGCAGGTGTGCCTGGTTTTTGTTCTGGTTGGGCTGTGGCTGCGTTTCTCACTGCTAAATACACTGAATATTCTGTTATTTTACCAGCTGTATTTTGTGGTGGTTCCCAGGATAGGTGTGCTCCTTCAACACTCTGAAAAAAGATTAATTGATTGAGTTTTTTTGTTGTTGATTTGGAAACATTTAAACACCAATCTTAAAATTTTAATAAATTATACAGAAGAAAGGTGTGTTAATGTCAGACACAAAAGAAAATATTGGGTTTGATTTAATTGCCTCTCAGACTACTCCAGACAGCATTCTCATTGATGATGTACAACGATCACATCTTGAGTAGAAATAAACAAAAATTAGGAATTGACATAAAAAATTAATTATAACTCCCAAAATGACGTAAAATGATAAAAACTAAAGCTGCATTACATACCTTACTGATTTTGATAGCAGAAGGGGCACCAGGGAAACCTGGTAAACATGTTTTAAATGCTGAAACTTCACTGAAGGGTCCTCTACCACAAGCATTAACACCCGATACTCGAAATTTATAGGCTGTACCAGGTTGCAATTCTTGTCTTTTCAAAACACTATGATCTGGTACATTGACAACATCAATATCCTAGAAAATAACATTACATCTATAAAATAATGTCTGTAACTAAAAACATCAGATATCACTTTATATGTTCATTGATTCAGTAACACTGAAATAAGATGAGAATTGGCAAAATTGGATGAAACTAAAAAAAAACTATTTTGGACCGCACATTTTAGATAGAAAGTGAAAAGAAATTAAGCAACGTACAAAACCTTTGAAATCATATTTTAAGGGACTAGGGCCCTGTTCCACAAAAAATATTCTGATCAAAATGTGTCCTAAGTGTGAAAAACCATAAGACAAAATAGTTCTGAAGTATTTTATCTCATAATAACAGCTTGACAAAATACATCAATAAGAGACAGCAATATTATCACTGCATGATTTACAACAGAATTGGTGGAAAAGTTCAAACCATATGAACAAAAAAAAACAGAAAAGATGAAAAGTAACTTACATCACCATTACCAGACATACCATCTGTTGGTAGATGATAATGTGACACAACAGTTGATGTGCTCTTAATAATACCAACATCAAACCATTGATTGGCATCTTTCTTTACTGGCATTAATACCTTATCCTGAAATATATTCCAAAGAATTATCATTTACTCTGTATCGTGTGAAAAATATTGCAAAAAAAAATCAAATCAGTAACGGTTTATGTTCTTCTTTAGAAATGATTCAATTGTCACATAATATTACATTGAAAGGAAATGATTTCTTCCATATATATAGATATATATGAGAAAATAAAAAAAATACAACGTACAATAGGTTCTGCTTTAATACCATTTGTAGACAACTCGCCTCCTTCTTGTTTGAGTGACCTGGCTGTAGAGACAGCTGCTGTGGCCAGAGTGGCTAATGGATCTGAAAATTCAATAGAATAGATGGGTCATCATTCATATGGTTGAATAAATTGTTGATATGTTGACAGAAAAGACAGCCCTACATCTATTTACACTACAGAATCAACCTGTCAGGTATGCTCATCAACATTTTTAGGAGGACAAACAACAGTCAGATTTGTGAAATGTCTGTTGACAAATAACTGATATTTTATGGTTAATTGTATATTGAGATGACTTTTGTGTTAACATTAATACAGGCTTGTGTATTTGGGAGGAGTCAAACCCAACGTTCTCTGAAATATGTTACCTGATTCAGAAGCACTTGTAATGGCGGCAGTTGTAACACCACTATCAGGATTAGGTAAGGGGTCTTGAGGTTCTAATTTAATTGAACCATCAACTGATGTGTCCATGGCCTCTTCCGAAGGTTTAGACTCATCACTAGCACTAGGGGTCTCAGTATGCGTATTAGCTGACTGGATTCCTTCCATGGGAGATTCACTTTGTACTGGTTGGGCACTTTCAGTTTGTGTCTCTGAACCTTCGCCTGGGCAACCATGTGGTGTGCCACAGTCACCTGTTGCTTGTGTTTCAGTCCCATCTCCAGGACAACCATGAGGTGTCCCACAATCTCCAGTTGCTTGTGTTTCAGATCCATCACCAGGGCAACCATGAGGTGTTCCACAATCTCCAGTTGCTGGTGCCTCAACTCCATCACCAGGGCAACCATGAGGAGTTCCACAGTCACCTGTTGCTTGTGTTTCAGATCCATCACCAGGACAACCATGAGGCGTTCCACAGTCTCCAGTTGCTTGTGTTTCAACTCCATCTCCAGGACAACCATGGGGTGTTCCACAGTCACCAGCTACTTGAGTTTCAGTACCATCACCAGGACAACCATGAGGTGTTCCACAATGTCCAGTTGCTGGTGCCTCAACTCCATCACCAGGACACCCATGAGGCGTACCACAGTTGCCTGTTGCTTGTGTTTCTGTTCCATTGCCATCACCAGGGCAACCATGAGGAGTTCCACAGTCACCTGTTGCTTGATTTTCAGTCCCATCACCAGGACAACCATGTGGTGTTCCACAGTCACCTGTATTCTGTACTTCTGATGCATCACCTGGACACCCATGAGGGGTACCACAATCACCATCAACAGTTCCTTCTTTTCCATCGTCTTTCACAGCTGGAGATACTGTAATCTGGACTGGTGGTTGATCACTAACTTGTGTAATTGATGTGGGAACTATTTTGGATGGAGGTTCAGTTGGGGATTGCTGGGCTATTAATGATATTGTAGGTGCACCAATCGTGGTTGTGGTTTTTATTCCAGGACTAGATAAGATAGAGGTTCCTGCAGTTACTTGACCTGCGACACCTTGGGTTAAGACTTTACCAGCTGTTTGACCAGGCCCTAATATTGTTACTACTGGTTTACCTTGAGTTGTTGCTAATGATGTAGTTCCTGTGGGTAGAGTTGATACAGACATTGGTTTAGTTCCGCCTAAAAAAAAGAAAATTTAGTATTATTGCATTCATTTGGCAAATTTAGAACTTAAGTGTAGCCAAAGAAGTGATGGATACCCTTTTCTCGAAAGACCTTCAAACATTAGGATATCATAAATTAATAGATTGATTAGAACATACCTGCTAAAATAGTTGAAGCTTGTGTAGCACCACCTTGAGGACTGACCACAATAAACTGGGTATTACCAGCTCCAGTTTGTCCACCTGCCATTTTAGTGATAAGTTTGGTTGGAGTATTAAGAGCACCACTAGAACTGCCTTTTGGAGCTGCTATTACTATGGTTTTAGTACCAGTTGGAGTTGTGGTCACACCGGTAATACCACCTGCTTTTGCCATGGATAACATTGAAGTGGGGATGGTTTTAATGACAGTTGTGATGTTCTTAGCCTGTCCATGCTGAAAAAGCAGATATAAATGTTGTATTATAATGTAGATTACAGAGGTAATCCCAAATCAATATTCAATCAGATATACAAATGTTTAGAACGTATTTGTTTTGATTTGGCAAATAGTTTTGGATAAAGCAATACAGGGGCAGTAACTCATACTAAATATTTTTGGATTGTTCTGATTTTCAATGGGGTTTATCCTTGGGTGATAACAAACACTCACACAAAGTTCCTTCAAGAATTGTATCTTCTAGAGTGTTTACGAGCATTTGTGGAATGACCAATGGACAGACATGAGTGGCAGCAATATACGCCCCCCCATTACAAGTGGGCGTATAAAAATTAGGCTACACAAGCAATGAGAGTATGCCATAAAAAAACTGCAGCTTAAATTGTTTAGATTCAAATTTTCATGACTAGACACTTTTTCCATGCAAAGCCCTCTATTCTGTATCACTGTTGCATACAAACATGAACATTGCCTCGTATTGCTATCAATATCAATAAGTGAAAGACTTACAGCAGGTTGAACACTACTAATACCAAGTATATTGGATGGTGTTTGACCACCTTTACTAGATGCTATAATAGCACTTGGTTTAGTTCCACCAGCTTGAGATGTAACTAATTTGACTATCGTTGCTCCCTGAGGTAAGGCTCCTTTGTTCTAAAATTAAAGGAAAGTTAAGCAAATCAACGAATTAAATTAAGTTTTGCCATGTCATCCCTCTTTCAAAAATTCTATAGCCTTGTCTGAAGACATGTCAAGAGGTTTTCTAAAATTTTTATGCTTTTCGAAGATCAATTTGCACAATTCCAATTTTCAATCAGACATCTGTGGTCCCAGCAATTCAGCTAAAATTGACCGCCGCAATATTTGCTTGTATCACATAAGACCTTTGGATGGGTCACGTCATAAAACACTTAGTTTTAGTAGAATTGCTAGAACCACAGACGTTTGATTGAAAATTGGAATGGCGCAAGTTGATGGTATCAAGAAAACCTCTTTCCAATCCCTTTAATGGAGAAAAAGAAACTTACAGTAGCAACAGTCATTCCTTGTGTAGTTTTAACTAAAGTAACAATTTGGGGTTGGTTTGTAACATGTCCTCCAGCTTTATGTACAGTGATAATCTGTTTACCACCTGCTCCCACCACATTACCAGCAGACGTCTTCAATATTGTAGTACCAGGGGGAGCAACTCTAATGGTTTGTGTTCCGGGAGACAAGGTTGTCCCTAAATTGAGTAAAAAAAGAAATTGGATGGTAAACAAAGCAGTTAAAAAATGTAGAAAAAAAACCTCAAATATCAAACTTGATATGTTCATTGCAACTGTAGTCTCTACAGTGTTCACAACCAAATGTCGGCCGGATGAAGAGGGTGACAATAACATAATATTTAAAATTATATTTTAGGTGTATATAAAAAAATGTCTGTAGACTTTTGGCTTGAATGATGTATGTATTAATGTGTATTTACCTTGTTGTACTTTACTTGCAAATCTAACACCAGAGGGAGTCAATACAGTAGGTGTAACAACTTTAACGCCAGATACAGTTCGAACAGTCTGTGGAGTACCAGGAGCATTAGGAGTTCCTGGTATTTTCTGGGTGGCAGCTGCAGCGGCAGCTAATGCAGCTATGCCTGTCATCTGACCACCTGCAGCTGTAGTCTGGATTTGAGGTTGCTGTAAATATATAGATTTAGGATAATGAAGTAAAAATGCTTAGATTAAGAAAACAAACTGATCAATCAACCAACATTCATGTGCTACTTGATGTCAGGGATCCTAGTAAGGATAAAAAAAATAAGAAGAAATGGAAAATATCAGCTGAGGGTCAAGAAGGCCAGACTCCTGCGTGGAGTTCAGGGAGAGATTTTCATCAATCAAACAAAATTTAGTGGTTTTTATTCGAAAAAAAAAAAGAATAAGGCTTGGATCCCTGTGAAGATTTAAACATGATAACAGCTAATATCAAGAAATTAATAAATCATCGTAACTCTTACCCCTTGTAAAACAGTACCAGCTTTCTGAGATTGACTTAAACTGATGATCTGAGGTGATGCTACACGTAATCCTGATGAAATAGGTGTTATTGTGACTGGTGATTTTTGACGTGGGGTGGCAGTTACTGAAACAAAATAATCACCGAGTTTAGAAACACAGGAACATATCTAATACTAATATCATTTTAGACCTCAAAACATAATGGCTACCATTTCAGCCTTATGTGTATCACTCATTACTTTATAAATCTTAACAGAAATGACTAGCAATATGTTAAAGAATATACCCTATTTTTGATGTATTTTAAGTTTATACAATCACACATTGATATTGTCATGCAAATCGTTACAAGACATGCAAAATATTGCATAAACTACCAAAGCTAGCAGAGAACATGCACATAAAGAAAATACGTTTTTCGTCAAATAAAAATGAGAAGTTCATGCAGTTCCTTGTGAAAACATGGTATTAACATGCTCATACAATGAAAACTAGTCTGATATCATCTGTCCAGGAAGTCAAATAGAATTATTTTTGGTTGTGGCTGGATTTAAACGGATTGTAAAGAGGTTTTACTTAAACTAAGCATTTTATGACATCGCTAAAGCTTCTATATAAGAAAGTTCGAATGGAATTGCAAGAATCGCCGATGTCTCACTGAAAATTTGAATGGTGCAAATTGATGCTATCAGTGTCTCTGATACACATATACAATTTTAGAAAACTTCTTTACAATCCCTTTACGAAATTTATATCGAAAATTCTGAATACATAACTAGACCACAACCATAATAGCATGTAAAAATTACATCTTGAGATCTTAAGAGTTGATGTTGACCATTTAACGAGTCACATCTAACCTATTTTAATCTATCTCCAGTGTTAAAACTGACTTCAAACTCTCAAAATCTCAAGATAATCTAGTTATGACATCACAAAAGGAGGTCTGTATAATTGTAGATACAACTAGTTGAAAGCACATGTATTTATCATAAACAGACAGGCATAATCATTCACATGCAGCGTAATTGATAGCTACCTTTGATGGTTTGTGGTGAAGAAAAATTAGAGACAGCTATTAACGGTCGTAGAGCTGAATAAGAAATATTTGGAGAGTACAAAATTGTGGAGGAAAGAAAAAGACAGATGTGGTGATAGTTGAGAGAAGGAGCTCCAGAAATTATAAGTATCTAGTCCAAAAGTCCTCTAAATGAGGTCTATCAACTACTTTCAATATACTGAGTGTTATTATTTGAGTCCAAAATTCAACTTATTTCCCTCAAAAACTAAAGTTTGCAGGTCAATATTTGTTAGTACTTCAAGATGTATAACGTTCCATAAAGTCCTCTACTAGAATATTCCTAAAACTAGCAGTTTTGATAAAAATTTTGTATCCAAAACCTAATCTTAATTGATTTTTGTGAGTAAATTAGAAAATCAGATATTACCTGTGCCGGGTGATCGAACTAACTGAGGTTGGTTAGGAACTAATGGCTTAGCAAGGTTTGTACCAGTTGGTACAGCAGTCGGACTCATGGCTTGTGATGGTGGCAAGTCATATTTTTGTAACTGAAGTAGGTAAGCATCTGCAGTTGGGACAGACCCCCAGCAAACTTCTAATGTATTTGTACTGGCTCGTACTAACTGGACCTTCGAAGGAGCTGGTGGTTTTTCTGTGGTGAGAAAACATATACAGTAATTACAGCACAAAGAAAATAATTCAAATTTATTTACCAATTTATTGTCCAATTTTGTCCTTGAAAATAATTAAAAAATTTCCTTCTTAAAATATTTTTCAAAATTCATCTTATACAAAAATTTTTAAACTTTAATCCCTGTAAATTATTTTTTGGGAAATTTCATCCTCTAAAATATTGATCAAAATTCAACCTTTGACATAAAGCATAAGAATGATGTACATACCTGTCTCTAAAAACCATAAATCTTTGAAGCAAACCTGTAAGGAATGGTATTGTAATGATAAATAGAAAACAGACTAAAAAAAAAAACACAAGACAAAAACATATTAACCATTCGACCCTAAAAAATTTACATTTTTCTCAGAAAGTTCAATATATATATATACTTGTAACTTTAAAGCTAATTTCGTGTTATGCGCTATGATAATCATACAGGATATGATCTAGGATACTCAAACAATTCACATACTTGGTTATTCCAGGCTTTTCTATATCCATCTCTACCACTCCATATGTATAGTCTTGTGTTAATAGATACAGCACATTGCCCTGCTCTAGCTCTAGGAAGGGCATCTTCAAAAACTTCCATAGCTAATGGTTCCCATGAATTACTCTCTATCAAAATATCAATCAATATACCAATAATAGCAAATATGGTGTCATAGGTGACCTTGCAAACTTACAAGACAACATACGAGCAGTAGATAATTTCAAAAAGGCACTTCACTTTACAAATTATCATTACAAATTTTTTCCAGGGTAAAATCTTTTTTATTTTATATTCATGTTGATTTCAGTATAATGAAAATTTGATCTAGAACCAAAGGAGCCAAAATTTATTAATTTCTAAAATAAATGCATAATTCTACGGTTGCTATACAACCATCATTCAGACAACAACATATGCTTGTTTTGAAATGTAGTGATCTAAAATTTTTCAACAACATTTAATATTGACAAGATGATATTGGCTATTTTTTCCAATTCTACTTACCTAAGTTTAAAGAAGCCAATGTGTTGGTGCATTTCCATTCCTTTTCATGAGTTGCTACTTTAACATCATCCATTACCAAGGGCACCCACCCACCAAAAACAAACATTCGATTACCAATAACAGTAGCAGTGTGTAAGGATCTTGGTAATGGAGGTATACCTTGTACAATAGGTTTAGTCCATGTGTATGTATCTGAAATATAATAAAAAATTTACTTCTAAGAAATAAACAAGAGTTCAGTTGTCAAAAACAATCCGTATCTAATTCTATTTATATATTAGTTCAGATCAAAGCCTGATAAAGACACATTTTACAAAAATTGCATTCCTGAGGAAGACAGCGATGTATGTCAACATTTCAATGACGAGGGCAATTAAAAACTATGCCCGTACAGACTGTTTTTTGTTGATGAAAGTTTTTAAAAATATTATTATACATACCAATTTCACATTGCCATAAATCACCAAGGCGACATCCGCTCATTCCACCATATATCAATAGTCTAGGATGACGGCCATCCTTCTCAGCATATCCAACACAAGAATGAGATTCCCTAGGAGGAGGCGGTTGACCGTTTGTGACTGGATATTCCCACATCATTGAACTGGAACTGGATTTCATTTCTAATCCGTACAGATCATTCAAATATCTACAAGAACAAAACAAATACATCTTGTTGTCAAATGTTTTTCTGAAGATTGCTACACGTCATTCATTTCTAAAATTATTCATATGGTTTTCAGCCCAATAGCCTGATCCTTTTATGTGTTAAGATCATGGAAGGCAAATGGAGTCACCAACAGAAGAAGCAATAAGAATTGCACAAAAAACAAAAAATAATCTTTAATCATCACATATATATAATAGGTTTGAAAATTTCAAAAAATGTTGAATTTTTTTTTTAAAGACAAATCTTACCTGGGTATATTATTCTTTGGATCTTCACTATCGTTGGCTAAACCACCAAACAGATAGGCCTTACTACCTAACATACAAAAACTGTGACCTGAAAATCATAAATATGCAAATCAGAGTTGCTGAAGCAGAAGACAAATCTAATTTGATCAATCCAAAATTAAAACACCTTGCTTGTTTATCTACTATTTTCATCATACACAAATATAATAATAAAGACTAACCTAAGCGTGGACAGGGAATGGTATGATTTTTTGGTGCTCTTGGTTTTAAACGTTTCCATTCCCATCTACTGGCTTGTAATTCATATAACTCATTAGAATATTTTCCATATTCAACCATGCCACCAAATACAAGTATTCTGGTCCCATCGCAAACAAAGCCATAAGCAGCACATCCTGGTGGAATATCTCCTCTGACAGCAGGCACAAACCACTGATTCGTAGCTAAAACAGACAATATCAAAAGTGAACTTGAGTTATATATTGTGTTCACTATCCAAGTAATAATAACATCAATTGTGGTCTGAATCATGAACAGAATTACCTCCTCTTTACATTTGTGCCACTGTAGTTTGAGGGCGCTACATTCTATCTAATTAGCATATTTAAGGTTTTCTTCTTTTAGCATTTTGATAGCCTTGAAGCTCAAAGGTGACTGTTCACACAAATAATTTGATTCATGTCTCATATCAACCAAACATATATCATTTGCAGCAAAATCGTCCCATCGAAGTAGAAACAAAGCAAATCTCGTATAAACGGTGCATCCCTGATATTTTCCGAGATGCGCAGGCGGCCATTATTATTTATATACAACCGCTATCCATTTACTAAAATAAATTGGGCCTTGGAATCAAACATAGAGCTGACTTTTTTGTACTTGTACAATTCAGTGCTATAGACAGTTGCAAAATGGCCGCAAATCAATTCATACGATAATGCATTAAACCCCTAACTTCAACGATTCCTATGTATCCAATATCCTCCATTTTCTTTCGTTGGGCGCCGCCATTTTTTCTTTGCGAAAAGTGACAGTAAAAAAACTAACTTTCAAATCTACACAAATTTTTCAAAATTAAAAAAGTTTGCTGAGCATGTTTGTGAAAACGTACAGAAAGCAAAAAGTCCAATTTGCAGTATTTCTAGCGTGAGAAAACAGCTCGCGCCAATTTCTTTGGGACCAATAACAAAAAGACGCCATTTTGGATGCCCCTATGAGTTTGACAGTTCACTTACTTGTATTGTAAACATGGAGTTCGTCGACAATTCCTTCATTTCCACCACCAAATACAATCATTAAATCTTTGATTGCAACTGCACGATGGCCATGACGAGGTCTTGGACATGGCCCTGTTGTATTTGTTACCCGCTTCCATTTCAGTATGGGAGCAGCCATTTTTGTGATTAAAAGAGCATTGTGGGTAAAATTCTGTAAGTGCCCGTATGTAAAAACATCATTTGCATATCACGTGACGTTAAACGTGATGGCTAAGGTTCTGTTTTTCCGATTTTTATGTTGTGAATGAATCAAATTATTACCTAAAAAACTAAACTATGTTCATACCAATTAAAACTTTTAATTTGTAATTTTATTTTATAAGGTCAAAGGTCAAGTTTAGAATTACTGGCTGGATGTTCAAGCACAATTTTGTTTTGATCATCACGTGACAAAGAAGATAAAAAATGCCATTAAAATATACTAGTTGAATTACTGTACGTACGGTACCTTGTAAAATAAGTTGATAAGCCTATAAATCATAAATCACATGGATCTTGCTACTAGCCTAACCATGTGAACAATCCAAATCAAGTATCTGTTAGTTACTATAGTAAGTATCTTGACATACCGGCAATATACACTGTCTGAGTCGTGTCTGACCACAAAATGGTCAAATAGCACACTGTTTCAACCCCCAAGATTAAAATGTGACTGTCGCAGTGTCACTGTGTTTAATGCAAATTGCAAATGTCAATCAATACAAACATTATATGAGATTTTGGGAGTAGTCTACTCTCAACCTTGATATTTGCATAGACCCAACTCAGACAAAGCCAAACTTAAGACTAGCTTTATGGCAGGTGCTTGGAGACCAATTTTTGTTGGTTAACTTGAAGACCACAACTCGGCAGGCACTCTGTGACAATATTTGCTATGAATCTCTGACTTAGGCTGAAAAAAAATTAACATTATATATGCTCAATTCCAAATCATATATCCTGAATTCCAAGAAATGTGACAGACAAATTCTACTCTGAGCTTAAATAATACAAAGGACAGTCTAATTAATTAAAAAAATAACCCAATCAAAATCGTAAATGGATAACAGAAAAACCTTTCAGTAATGATTCTAGGGTATTTTAGACACCCAATATGTATGTATCTATTTTTGTTGAAGGTTTGATATGCACAGAGGAAACCTAAGGAGTAGTTTGTATATGATTAACAGAAAGGAAAGAAGCAATGGATTAAAGAAGTTCACGTAATTGGTATAGTGGTATCTGTACTAAAACCATCAAAATGATGTGGAAAGCAATATTTACCGTTACTTTATTTGCGGCCTTCACAGTAACTATAACATTTTTCGGAGTGTTTAAAGTTGCAAAAACAGACATTGGTTTAGAACATTATGCAGAAAAACAGCACTTTAAAACCATATTTCCTAAATGGTTTAAGATGCCCTTTAACACTTGTATCAATATAGGCTATATTTTAGTGGGTGCCTATTGGTGTGCTATCACCACTTTAAGTATGGAGAATAAACTAATAAGTGTAGTGGAATCATATTTGTTTTACATTTTCAATATATCAGCAGCGTATTATGGAGCTGTTCAGACCTTGAGAATTTTAACACAGAGACATGAGTTTGCAGTTTTAGATCAATGGCTCACCTTGCCATTCTTTATGATGGTATTTATATGGGGACTGTATTTGAAATATGGTTGGAGCCCATGGCGTGCTGCAATACTTATGACACTTTCTTTGACCAGTTACTGTTTAACGCTCTTGACTCCCTATGGTTTTGAGATTGTGTTAGGATGCCACATATTGTGGGCTGTTACTGGTGGTGTTCTTGCTTATCAGCGATATCCTTCCTCTCATTCCCAACTCAATTTTATTTTAGCCTGTTTATTCTGTATAGGGTTTGTAATACTGAAATTATTGGACCTGCATCTAGTCCAATATCATACAGTATTTACCATACTTTCTGGACATTTTTTATCCAAAATTTGTGATATATTACAGATATATTATGTGAATGAATATTTTCAGTCGATTAGTATTACAAAATTTCAACAGTCTAAAAGTAGTCACAGCTCTAAAAGTCAAAAAAACAAAAAAGAAGATTAACTTGTAGATGTCAGTATATGTTTTTATTTATTTGCCCACAAGCTGTGAATGTATAAGCTTATTGTTGTTGTTCCCATCTGTAAATATATATATCAGGTGTCCCAAAAAAAAAACCCAAATTCGACAGGTAGTATCTCAGCTGTTGGTAAACTAATGTATTTCAAAATTCTCACAGATAGACGTCAAGATGTCGTTGTCAAGGCAATTAAGCTATTTCAACCTGTGTCAATGTGCTCTCCATCCTCTTTGACCACCGAACGTTTTTTTCCATCTTGAGATGCTGTTACAGATCACACCTAAAGGTATCTGCTATCAAGAAGCGACTATCCTGCCTTTCAATTTCTGTTTAGTCAGTTTGTAACACTGACCCCAGAACACCTTTTCTTTAAGAGAATCCCTAATGGCATAAACCATTGGATTATAGTGTGGGGATCAGGGCGGCCAGTCATTCTTGTGAATAAATTCTGGTGTAGCCTCATCCAGATATGCTTGGGATACTTTGCTAATATACAATGGGGCCCCGTCTTGTTGGCATCTTGGGATGGAAAAAACGGTTGCAATTGGATATAGGGCACAAGTTGAAATAAGCAAGTTGCCTTGATATTATATTTTTTGACATGACATTTTGTTCAGGCAAGTTCTTGTACAATTTTTATTCAATGACTTTCATATTGTTAGGGTTGGACAACGACATCTTGATGTCTATCTGAGAGAATTTTGAAAGAGATCAGTTTACCAACAGCTGAGATATTACCCGTCGCACTTTAGAGCGTTTTTTTTTGTGACACCCAATATATATATTGACGCCACCAATTATTTTAATTTCGAAACACTTGGTATACAATAAATACAGAGTTCAAGTCAAATCTGTTAACTGTAATCTCTATCTACATTAACTTTACTGATATCTCGTAAGATATAAAGTTAAAAATCAAAACCTACAATAGTATCTGTAATAATTAGAAACACAATGATATATAAAACCTCAGTTTATTAAAATACATTTCTATAATTAACATACTTGATCTCCATACCAGTTCACTAAAATACTTTCAACTTCACTTAAAACCTTGTTATTTCCCTTCGATCTCAACAGAACAAACTTATAGTTATTTGCTTTTGATCTCAACAGAACAAACAATTGATATTCTATCCTTTACAACAAATGTAACCTTCAATGGATTTGAAGGTTCAAATTTCGACAGTGAGCTGTGAACACTATTACTGATTAACTTTACAAAAAAATTCTCGTTTTGGTCAAACCAGATGGCGAACCTGTCCCTTTAAGAAGCCCATATGAAATATGAAGTCTATATTATCACTCATGATTGCCATTATTTAACGAAACATGGTGTGCATGTTTATTATCACTCCAGGATGAACCCTACTGAAAATAAGAAAATATTTGAGTTAATCCCCTTAGTTATTTTAAGCTCGTAAACACTTAAAGGGAAATTGCTTCTAAGAATGAACATAAAATTTTTAAATTTTAAACTTGACCAATAAGAGCGTATATTCATCAGTGAACATACCTGGTGTCATATATAACATAACAGGATCCTTATATATAATAATTCTGTGGCACCAGGTATGTTCACTGATAAATATATACTCATATTGACCATTCTTGAGGACTTAAATTTGATGTTCATTCTAAGAGGGCACAATATTCCTGATGGATTTTGATGCAACTTGGTGTATGTGTTTATGAATGAGCCCCATTGAAAATGAAAATGAATTATTGCCCTTGTTTTTGAAAAATTGTTAGCTCATAAACGTACTCGACAGATTTTGATGTATCACCTCAAGAGAAGTGTTTGGATGAAGGTTAAATATTTTATACTAGTAATTTTTACTGTACTGCCAAATATTTTTATTTAAAATAAAAACTGCCCTGGCAAGTTATCTTTGTTAACATTTTTTAATCACATGTATATGATTCCTCATCATATATGATAATATTAGAATATTTAAGAAAAGATATAAATACATTTGGGTTCAAACCATAAAGGGACAGGTAAGCCATTTTGTGGGATTGATTCGAGTTTTGAATATATGTCAGAAGTACTAGAAATTCCTTCAAAAATATATAAACCTAGGAATTTCTTTTCCTATTTCTATAGATGTCATTCTCTCTATTGCAGTGTCTCAAGAAAAGATGGATCCGCATGACGCGTATATGGAATCTTAGCTTTAGTCTCTAGCATGAACCACATTCAATCTACATATAAAACTATTATTAAAAATATAAACTATACAAAATTATAACCATAAATATAATACCAATATACTATTGAAGCACCATTATTATTGTTATAAATCAAATGAACATTAAGATTTTTTACAATTTCTTATTAGATACCAAAACATAAAATAAGCATGTTGACCTTAAATTGACTCACTAAAAAAAAATTAAAATGTTACAAAACTTCCAGACTTTTGGTAACCCAACAAAGTATGATTGTTATTTTAGACTAACTCTCATCTCAGTCAAATTTCTACCTTTCCCGTCATTTTCACAAAATGACGTCTGGTCAAAAGATTAATTTGACAAACGTTCAAGATGGCTGTCGTTGGATCCTAACAGAAGTGGCTATATTAGAAATAAAAGATAATAAATAAAAACGGAACGCAAGTTTATTTATTTTAATTAGCCTGACTCTCTCATCTGATAATAAAAATAAATAAAAAATGCCTGTTGACCCTGTCTATCAAATTTGCTGCCACTCATGATATTCTGTTTGTCTTTTTAAATCATACTTTTCTTTTTGATTTTTGCTCCATTTACAAACACGGCTTTAAATTATCTGATTAAACTTAAAGGGATTTTGAAGATTTTTTTTTAAAACTTGTTTATAGATAATTTTGAATACACATGCATTTGAAGGTTCAAATCTCGACAGTTTGCTATGAACACTATTACTGATTAGCTTAACTAAAAATATTCCTATTCTGAGATTTAGGTATGATAAACTTGTCCGTTTGATATTTATTTGACAAAATTCTGTGGATATAAAATAGGTTTCTTAATTCATAGACTTCAAAAAATAATGATAACAAATGGTACCGATTTGACCTCTATATCCTTATAAAACTTTCCCATGACAACGTTCAGAACCCTGAGTTAATTCTACTATTTGATTTAATAGTAGTTAATATACCAGTTCAATCATCTTTAAAAATTCAACTAATTTCTGTGACTTCTCACTTCGGCACGTCATTGAAATATTTCTGAAATATACCAAGAAAAAAATCATGAGAAAAAAAAGAATATCTTCAACATGCATTCTGACATAATTTCAAATACCCATCTTTACATTAGACCTGGTATTTCATCTTATACCTTGACTACATTGGTGTTATTTCTTTGATTGGATTGTACACTAGCCAATCTGAGCCCTCAACAAGAAAAAAATGAAATCAAGGGCTCTGATTAGCTGTATTCGATGGTGTACAATCCAATCAAATCGCTGACAAGAAAGTGGGCCATTGCAGTCAAGGGATAAGATAAATACATAATACTTAAACCATTGTGAAGATTTGGTTCAAAGTTTTCAGAATTTTAACACTGGAACTTAGAACAGCCTCTAAGTGTGGCATCTGACTTTGTCCCATGGCTTTTGGACATTTTGGCAGTCGAGTCTGAGAGCAACCAGATTTGAAACTAACTTGACAAATTCTGATAAAATCCTATCTGTTTTTATCTGTATTCAGAAAGAGTTCTCCTAACCAGTAAGTTTACTCAAGAACAGGCAAAGACAGAATGTGAAAAAACTGGAGACATATTGGCTATTCTCAAATCAAGTCAGGACGGAGCGATGGTGCATCAGATGCTTATTGACCAGGCTCCGTAAGTTCTACGACATTCGCCCCACCATCATCCTAAGCCATTCGACAACATCGAGCATGTTTATAATTCTTTGCCCAAATATTCATCGACATAAACTTGTTCAGCATTCATGTCCACTCCGGCAAATGACAAATAAAATGGCGACCCACAATGCTCTGTGATTTACAGTGTAAGACTAAAAGATGGTCAGAAAGTATTCGATACATTCAAGTGCTTCATGTTTCCTTAGCAAAGGTGTACAACCTTTATTACATCTACATTTTGGCTTGTACCAAGGTAAAGGCAAATCTTTATTTTCTTTTTTATTATGTTTAAAAACTATGGAGGGCGGATTGGCTTTTTATTTAATGTTCTTCTTTGCTATTTCCTAATTTTTAATTCTAATTTGCATGCTAAATTCAACATTTGTCATAGAAAATTGACAGAAGTATTAGAAAATCAATTTTCTAAAGCACATCCCCATAGTGCTAAATAGAGCATATAGAGTCAAAGCAACAACATTGGTGCTAATCAGAGGCTTCCATATAATTCGCCTGGTACCATCTATTCTGAAGCTCATCTAATGAGTATGTTTCAGTTAATGAAAATTTTACATTATTAAGTATATATCTTCATGTATTGTAGAAATGATCATGTTTGGATAGGATTAAAATACAACAAAACTCTACAGATGTACCTATGGCAAAATGGTCAAATGTTTGCGGATGAAGGTCGCTGGGGTGATGGCGAGCCCTCTCAGCAGAAAGTAAAATTGTGTGTGGTGTTTAATAAAGATGAACGATTGTTAGACACCAAAGACTGTGATAATGATTATTATCCTCTATGCTCAAACTATTAAACCTGATATTTTAAAGAAAGCTAATTCCTAAAGTTCAATAAATGATCTTAGCAGGCAAGCACCGAACTCACAGAGTCACCTCGGCTCTCTGTAATTTCTTCAAAGCTACCTTACTTACCTCATATGATGAAGAGTTATTAAGTTTTCTACATGCTAATACTGCATCATGAATACTAACAAACAGACAATCTTTATACATTGTGGTATAAAAATCTGTCTTCTCAAACATTTCTCTTACACCAGCTAGAAAAAAAAAATTATAAATAACATGGATTTTGGATAACTTTTCCAGAAGCATTAGACTATAAAACTCTCTCATAATTTCCAGGATGGTTAAGAGCCTCTGGAAGCCAGGATAACAAAATCTGTACAACTAAACTTGCACATTAAGGGCATTTTTATTTTTGACCTTATCAAAGTGCTTATGTATTATAACGTTTACTCTTGTGTGTATTGAGAAAAGGATTCCTGGGCCCTGGGCAAGACTAATTCAGAATAAGGAGTTTGGTAAAGGTCTATAGGAAATACAATGCTCTGTTCATAGATTTGAGATTAGATAATCAGGTTATTGGTAGTCAATAGTCTTGAACATCAGTGATTCTAATATACACTCCACATTACATTCCAAATAAAAATGAGAGTTGAAGAAAACTTATCATGAAGATGATTAATGGTATCCTAGTTGTAAAAAACTATGATGCTTTGACAGGATGAAGATATGAGGATTTAAATAATAGAACATCTGTCAAAATAAACCATTTATTCCTTTAATGTTTTGTGTGTCTAAACCAAAACAATTGTGTGTTTTGGGAAGAAAAAATGATTTATTTTGACCAAAGTTTTAATATTTAAAGCCACATTTCATGTGAGCAAATAAAAACTATGAGCTTATACATATTGTTTGAAAATTTATACAGATAGCTTTAAATATGTGGAATAAAAAATATTGACATTACCATCCCTTTTTTTAACACTGTACATAGAAAAACATAGTGATATAAAAATATAATAATAGTTACCTTTACATTGTGCTAAATAAACTTGAATATCAATTCCCTTGTATTCATTAATGATCTGAAATTGACATTATTAATATAACAAATAAACACTTTAATACTGAACTCCATGATGAAGTCCAGACACTATGGGTGACCTTGATTGAACCTCTGCGGTCTGAGTTGATGGAGAAATAACGTATTTATCTTCAGCCAGCATGCCGAGTGAGGGTCGAAATCGAATTTGATGGAGTTAAGGCGATATGGGGGGACTTTTGACCATATATAGACATTCCATGCTACGATGTCAACTTGTGTTTGACTCTCCAAATAGTGAGTGTCGGATTCGAGCTTCTAACTAGGTTGAATATTACATCACACGTGTCTAAACCCTAGAAAATATTACAGTCGGTTGTAACTCTAATGACTCGAGTCTAACCTGTGCTCCAATCGAAGTCACCCTATATATTATACTATAACATTTGGTCTCAGATTTTATTAACTCCCTGAAGCAATTGCATATTTGAATTATTTGTTTATCTTGTAAATTACTCCAGAAGTTAATAATTTGTATCAAAATGATTTATTAAGTCAAAATCCTTTGTATCTACATTGACCTGGGCCAGTGCTTCTATAGGAGAGTATCTCTATAACACCTAATACTGATCAATTTCAATTGACTGCCTATGTTAAATGTCTATTTCAAATTTCATACTGTGAACATGTTTTTATATAGCAATCTTGGTTTGATGTAAAGAAAATACATATTTTCCCCAAAAAAAAGGGACAACACCCCAATGCTACAATAACCATACCTGTCCTAAAACCTTAACACCAACGGAATCCACATAACTCATGGTAGAACAGTCAATAATTATAGAATGTACATTAGCAGGTGAACGGCAGCCATTAATATCTAAATCAGCCGCATCAGAACCTTCTACTACAACTTTAGTATCAGATATATCACACTGAAAATATATATTATTAGTTTATATCTAATACATTTGTGAAAAAAACAACTATATTTTGTACACACAGAATCCTTTTGACCACTTTGTCCTTAACAAAACCTCTTGACAGTGATCTTTCCCGGATTATCAATACCAATATACAGATGGGTAGATGGTGAAGATGACGATGAAGATAAGAATCCACAACATGTAGAGAACCAATATTCTAACCAACCTAAAAGGTCAGGTGCTTCACTTAGCATATTCAATATTAGATTTACAATGTAATACAACATAGTCAATGTTTGACAATGTACATCCCAGAATTCCTCACATATTTAAAAAAAAATCTATTTTTGTACATCAGAGCAATTGATTAGTTGAATTATAAATGACGAACAACTAAAGATATAAAACAACAAACAGATCATGGTATGCTAGTGGAATATTGTAAATGATGAGCAAACCATATACACCGAATTATGGATAAGAGTTACAGTTATCTCCCTTAATCCACTTCTGACTACCAGTTCTGATCTTCAGATGGAAAAAAATCAACTTACGTTTCCATTGTCATCATTTTTTTCTTCTTTGTTAATTTTTCTTATTAATTTTTCCTTCTTTCTTCTCAATTTTTTCACTATTTTGGGGTCCACAGTTTGTTTATAAATTTGAGTTTTAAAATGTTCAGAATTAGCAAAGAATAGAGCTGAGTCTATTCTAAATATTTTGATACAATCTAATTCATTTACAGCTCTGTAGACTGAAGTATCACGATAGATGTCAGTACCTGGTACCTGCCCCAAAACACAGGTATATGGGCTGAAATAAAACATAATACATTACTTCTCCTAATACTTCCAAAATTATCAATATTTTTCAAAAACAAATTGACAACTTTAAGTCACTACAATATTTTAAAATATTAATATACTTATGTTTTAATGGAATTGAAAGAAACAGAGGTATGTGACAAAAATTGAAATGGTGAAAATTGATTCTCTACTCTTATTAGTGTCCATTATACACATAAAGAGTTTACAATCCTCTGAAGTTTGAAGAAAATTTGAAAATCTTGAAAATAAAGTATTATGATAACTGGATAAAGAATAATACCTTTGTGATCTACCAATTACAGTTAAAAGAGCAAATCCTACACCAACCATTAATCCATAATCAACATCTAATAATACAGTAGCCAGGAAAGTCATTAACCATACAGCCTACAATACAGAAATAGAAACCTGAACCTGAAACATGTTATTACTCAGAGTTTCAGCCTACAATATATAAATATCTCAATAAACTTATAGCTAACATACTTTAGGCAGGCAGTGGCAACTCCTAGGTCCTCATCCACCAAATAATAATCATATTTGATAGGCTACAACCTATTAGATTTGCTGACATGCTAGATCTATCAGTCTTGAAGTGGATTCCACCCTGCTTCTGTAGGTCAACTTTCTCAAGCATATAGAAATAGTGACTAAAATTCCAATTTGAAGTATTTTAAAGGGATTATGTAATTTCGTACATTTCTAGTTCTTCTGCAGACTATTTACATATATTCAACACTCAAATCAACACCCAAAATGGTGCATCTGTCCCTTCAACTATAAATTTGATAAAAATAATCAACTTACAAAATCAATGACTGAAATACTCCATAATCTTTTTAATTCTAAAAACTGTTTGAACATTCCCTTTAAAGCCACAATAATAATAGAGGCCAATACACACTGAAATTATAACTTTATAAAATCTTTACTCTGGTCTTTATACACATGATGGTTTTACTTAGTAAACAGATTATTTTCTTGTTTTACAGAAAGATTTGACATAAATTAGTCGCAGTGATATTTCACAGCTTTCTTTTCTTTCTCTTAAAGATGGGTTCCCTTATTTTCATTTACGAAAATGAACATGCTAATACTTATATGAATATAAAGTAGAGGTGTTCCAATGACCAGTTTGTCTCACATGTACAGAATTAGTCAAAGGTCAGACTATGCATTCATGGATATTTATGATTGGTTATAACTCTTATTTACATGCAATACGAACATAATGATATGATTAAAAATACATGATAATTCATTAGAAACACCAATTAATCAAATAGTTTGCTTAATTTGATGCTAAAAAATGAGGAAACCCATCATTAACAAGTGCAAGCATGCAAATAAATTTCAGTTTCATAAGAAATGCAGTTTTACTCCATCTATATCAGTACTAGAGGTAATATTATAGAATAAAATATTGACAAATTTAAAATTCATACATACATTAGGTAAAGATTTAAAATATGGTCCAATAACCAATAAAACAACTACTAATAAGGTACTCGATATCAATCCACACACCTGGTGAAAAAAATACATCAAATTTAAATTAACATTACTCTTTCATCGTTTCTGTCTTCACTCAAATTGTAATTCATTCAACATTAATTTCTGATAAACCAAACAACTTACTTGTGTTCTTCCACCAACTCCTTCCTGTACCAGTGAACGTGATAAAGAGGCTGCCGTACAGAATGAGGAAAAAAATGAACCAAATATATTACAAACACCATAAGCTACCAATTCCTAAAGTGAGGCAAGTAGTTTGAATCAAAATATATCTATATTGTCATCATGTATCAAAGATAATTTAAAGACATCTATAAAGGGAGGCAACTCTCAATACAATATCACTGACAAAGTCAACACAATTGGTGGTCTTGTCTTGTGAGTGTCGGCACACAAACAGTCTTGGTCAGAGATTTGTGTCACTGACTTAAGTCTTGTCGAGAGTTTCACTGACTGGCACGGGCAAAATCTTCAGTCGGTCATTTTCTACCATGTCGATAAAACTATCAGAGACAATTTTCAAACTTGTTTGATATTATATATTCTGTCGGGGACATGATAATCTTGTTATGGAACCAAGGGCACATGTGAGATTTCACGTAAGACTCTTATCGGCGACAAAAAACTCAAACCATGACAGCTCGTCTCACCTTAAGAAAATAATCACTGACCAGACAATGGATTCAATTGATTACGTTTGACAAAATTGAGGAATTAAAGTGACCAAGAAGTAGGGAGGTTTGAATAAATAATCTAAAACAACGACAAAGTATGAACCTACCTGATTTGAATCAATATCATAATCGTGACGTTTGGCTAAAATTTTGGCCATAGAAACAGAAATAACAAAGGCAACAATTGCTATGGCAATGGCATCAGATATAACATCAGGTAAATACATAAACTGGTTGGCTCGTGGTACTGGAAATCTTAAATAGAAATATTATTTCAACAAAATGTTACTTTATCATAAAGTGAAACTACCGTTCAATTCTTATATTCAAATTCAAAAAAATTTTATCACGTGACAAACTACAGTAGCCTTTATCAAAAGATAAATGCTAGTTGGCGTAACTGGTTTATAGAAGGGAGTGATATTAGAAGTGTATCAAAAAATATCTCACCCTACTGGTACATCACCAACAATATTAACATCATAAACCTCATTTAAACGTGAAAACTCGGATACTAATGTACCAATAATAACCTGAAAACAAATTGAAACTCTCAATATCTTAAATATTCATCAACGATCTTAATTAGATACTATTGTCTCCAATCAATAGATAGAAATTTATAGTTGGTTTTTATCAGACATTACTTGCCACGAAAGGTTCAATAGAAAGAGGCATTCTAAGTTTTTATCAGACATTACTTGCCACGAAAAGTTCAATAGAAAGAGGCATTTTAAGTTTTTATCAGACATTACTTACCACGAAAGGTTCAATAGAAAGAGGCATTTTAAGTTTTTATCAGACATTACTTACCACGAAAGGTTCAATAGAAAGAGGCATTCTAAGTTTTTATCAGACATTACTTGCCAAGAAAGGTTCAATAGAAAGAGGCATTCTAAGTTTTTATCAGACATTACTTGCCACGAAAGGTTCAATAGAAAGAGGCATTTTAAGTTTTTATCAGACATTACTTAATGTTACGAAAGGTTCAATAGAAAGAGGCATTCTAAGTTTTTATCAGACATTACTTACCACGAAAGGTTCAATAGAAAGAGGCATTTTAAGTTTTTATCAGACATTACTTGCCACGAAAGGTTCAATAGAAAGAGGCATTTTAAGTTTTTATCAGACATTACTTAATGTTACGAAAGGTTCAATAGAAAGAGGCATTCTAAGTTTTTATCAGACATTACTTGCCAAGAAAGGTTCAATAGAAAGAGGCATTCTAAGTTTTTATCAGACATTACTTACCACGAAAGGTTCAATAGAAAGAGGCATTCTAAGTTTTTATCAGACATTACTTACCACGAAAGGTTCAATAGAAGGAGGCATTCTAAGTTTTTATCAGACATTACTTACCACGAAAGGTTCAATAGAAAGAGGCATTCTAAGTTTTTATCAGACATTACTTGCCACGAAAGGTTCAATAGAAAGAGGCATTCTAAGTTTTTATCAGACATTACTTGCCACGAAAGGTTCAATAGAAAGAGGCATTCTAAGTTTTTATCAGACATTACTTAATGTTACGAAAGGTTCAATAGAAAGAGGCATTCTAAGTTTTTATCAGACATTACTTTGCCACGAAAGGTTCAATAGAAAGAGGCATTTTAAGTTTTTATCAGACATTACTTACCACGAAAGGTTCAATAGAAAGAGGCATTCTAAGTTTTTATCAGACATTACTTACCACGAAAGGTTCAATAGAAAGAGGCATTTTAAGTTTTTATCAGACATTACTTGCCACGAAAGGTTCAATAGAAAGAGGCATTCTAAGTTTTTATCAGACATTACTTACCACAATAAGTTCAATAGGTACTGGCATTTTAAGTTTTGGTTTGATTCTAGGGTTATTGTTGATTAATTCTTTTACTAATACTAAGACTAATATACAAATTGCTGACCCAATCAATGCAGCAAAATTTGTAGTTGGAATGTTTTTAAAGAAATCTCTGTATGACTGAAATAAAAATTGAATAAAAGACAATTTAAGAATTCTAATAGCTTTGAATTGAATTTTTTCTCTCATTTCATAAATATTCAAAATATTAGGTTCAGTGATTTTATATTTAAAATAGACACACTTCCCTCCCAGAAAATTCACGTGAAAATTACCTACTCTTGGGACTGAAAATTCCCCTCTATAAAATTATGTTCATAAATAATAACTTTTTCATCAACACAAAGAAAATCTAAGACTCTCAGTAGTATTTTGTAATTGATATTTCAATTCATAATGAAATGATGGCCAAAATTCAATTCAGTAAACATCGTAGGTAGAGAGTAGTCTTAAAAGAAACTTACATAAATGAGTTTAAATGGACCATTATATCTGTTGACGGCTACACCAAAGATATGTTTAATTTGACTGGTAAAAACATGGCAAGCAGCACCAGTAGTAAAACCACTTATTAATGGGTCTGACAGATAGACAGTTACAAATCCTAATCTAACCATTCCCATCAATAACTGAAAATAACAATAACAACAAATAACAATAACAACAAATAACAATAATAACAAATAATAATAATAACAAATAACTATAGAATCAAAGCTTATTGTCCCATCCGGGTTTAAAAAATCTGAAGGTATTATCTCGACCTATGCCGGGTCTGAATCCTGGACCTTCAGGTTAGCAAGCAAGCATCTAACTCACTGAGCCACTGTGTAAGAACATGATCCAGGTTCTGTTATTATTTTTTAGATATCATGTTATATATAAATATCTACTAAAACACTATTTAGCATGTATTAGAATGTAATATGAATTAAAACTTTATTAAGGCCAAGCTTGGGATTTTAAAAACCACATTTTTGTGTGATATTGGCAAAATACATAACTGTAATTTACCTGAATAGCACCAACAGCAAAAGTAACAGCCATGGCAAAACCTAACTGTGTCCGAAGTAACTCATCATCAATACTGTTACTAGTGAAGTCTCCTATAGTCTGCGATAAATTGGTATTGGTTACATTGAAGATGTCACTTGTACCATTGTTGCTGCTAGCTGGTCTATCTAATGACAGACCTTTAGATGCTAGACCTTTATCTACCACAGATCCCACCATTAAACTTACAACAGCAAATGTTCCTACAAGATTTAATATAATATATTTATTTTCTTCTCTCATTCAGTGATATTGCTGTAGATGTTAAACTCATGCCAAAAACGTGTCTAAAGGTGTTATCACAAATGGAAAATGGAGATTTCTGCACAAAGAGCAATAACTGAAAAATCATACATCAAATTATGGAGAACTTTTCAAACCTCTCTAAATTGAAACAATGTCACATTACAATGATGATGTTTTCATCTAAAAATAAAACAAAGACCCATTTTTTACAAGGATAGCCACTTAGGTTCACTAGGTCTCTTTCTACCAGCTTGTCCTTGGCCAAACCTCTTAGCATTAATCTTTCCTGTATTATCTACACCCATTTATAGCTGGATTGACTAAGATAATGAGGAAAGAGGACGGTACTTTCACAGTCTGACGTAGATTAAAACCAAGGACGAACATTTCAAAGGTTCAGCAAATGATGTCGTGTAAAAATTCCAACATCCTTACCACCTATGTTACAGAACCCTGCTACAAATTAAAATAAGAAATTTGGACAAACTAACTGAAAACATAAATCCTCTATTTTAGTTGAGACAATATTATCATGATCTTACAGTAAACATATCTACTTACCAACTGAGACATGCTTTGATGAACCAAAGAAGAAATAAACTAAAACTGGAAAAAATGAAACATATAGCCCATACACTGGAGGAAGTGTGGATAACTGTCCATATGCCATACCTGAAATATATTACATTGTTGAATAATGTTCATCTTTAAAATTTCCATCAAACAGCATTGGTTGGTGTTATGCCAGACATCAGAGTTTGCTTACTCTCTTAGACACCTGATACCACGCTTTAAAGGGCAATTTAAAAGTAATTAATTTGCGAGGTCATTTGGCAAAGGATAACCTTATCTATTCATTGCTTGATAAAGACCAGAGAACACTGGTCGAAACGTCGCCCAAATAAAGTTTTTCATTATATAACCTTATCAAGGTCAACGGAATTTCAGACGTTTCAGAAGCAGTTCTATCAGAGTGAGTTATTGTTGGCAATCAATATTTTACAATAAGCGGTGGCCTTACCTTGTGGGATATGCATAATACCAACAGTCAGTCCAGCAATAATATCCGCAGGAAAGTCATTCCGAATGCTATATCCTTTTAATAGTGACAGAAATGGAAAAACTTGAGTTATAAATTTTCCAACACATTTTCCCGAACATTCGAACTTTGAAACTTTCTTCTTGGCCCATACTTTTGGTGTTTTAGCAGGGCGTTGAATGCTGGTAAATCCTTTATCAAACTCTAGTTGCGTATATACAGGGCGTTCCACTACTACTCTTTCTTCATTGATTAAAGCATTTCGTATTTCCACATCTTCACTTTCATTCATCCTCTTTTTAACACCTGAAACATACAGAAATAATATTTGTTATGAAATATACAAATTATAGTTCTAAATAGATATGATATCATTCATCATGTTCTCATTGTAAATATTATCAAAATCACTTCATGTTCTTGCTGTAAATATTATTAAAATCACATCATGTTCTTGCTGTAAATATTATCAAAATCACTTCATGTTCTTGCTGTAAATATTATCAAAATCACTTCATGTTCTTGCTGTAAATATTATCAAAATCACTTCATGTTCTCATTGTAAATATTATTAAAATCACTTCATGTTCTTGCTGTAAATATTATTAAAATCACTTCATGTTCTCATTGTAAATATTATTAAAATCACTTCATGTTCTTGCTGTAAATATTATCAAAATCACTTCATGTTCTTGCTGTAAATATTATTAAAATCACTTCATGTTCTCATTGTAAATATTATTAAAATCACTTCATGTTCTTGCTGTAAATATTATTAAAATCACTTCATGTTCTTGCTGTAAATATTATCAAAATCACTTCATGTTTTCATTGTAAAATATTATTAAAATCACATCATGTTCTTGCTGTAAATATTATTAAAATCACTTCATGTACTCATTGTAAATATTATCAAAATCACTTCATGTTCTCATTGTAAATATTATTAAAATCACTTCATGTTCTTGCTGTAAATATCATTAAAATCACTTCATGTTCTCATTGTAAATATTATTAAAATCACTTCATGTTCTTGCTGTAAATATTATTAAAATCACTTCATGTTCTTGCTGTAAATATTATCAAAATCACTTCATGTTTTCATTGTAAATATTATTAAAATCACATCATGTTCTTGCTGTAAATATTATTAACATCACTTCATGTTCTCATTGTAAATATTATTAACATCACTTCATGTTCTCATTGTAAATATTATTAACATCACTTCATGTTTTCATTGTACATATTATTAAAATCACATCATGTTCGTGCTGTAAATATTATTAACATCACTTCATGTTCTCATTGTAAATATTATTAAAATCACTTCATGTTCTCGTTGTAAATATTATTAAAATCACTTCATGTTCTTGCTGTAAATATTATTAAAATCACTTCATGTTCTCATTGTAAATATTATAAAAATCACTTCATGTTCTCATTGTAAATATTATTAAAATCACTTCATGTTCTCATTGTAAATATTATTAAACTGTAAAAATTATTAAAATCATTTCAACTTTATGTTCTTACTGTCAATTTGAAAATATGTCTAGATTAACTACAAATTTACCATATGTCCCCATAATAATAATAATAATAATAATGAACACCACTTCTAATTAATCTTAGATCTATCATAATCCAAATGTTACATGTTTATAGAAATATTACTACTACATATTGACTGTAGAAGTTAAACCTAATATACAATTATATAGTAAAAATATGATAACACATGCATCAAAATTCAGATTCCACCCTTTTTTATGTCAGTTATTTCATAAATATAGAAAAATGAATTTAAAATGCAAAATTGACACTTAAAATTACAAGTTTTATCTAAATGGAGTTTCAGTTGAGAGATAAAAATATAGTTGTTATTAGACTGAATACAAAATAGAAACATTTTGAATATTTTGGCATCACTTTCCTGAAGACTCTCAAGTGAAGATGATAAGATTTAACAAATTCAATAACTTTATCTTGGAGAAATTTTATTCTTGTTTCAAACCCTGAGCGCCAGAAATTGCAGTATCAACTTAAGTTAAGAGATTGTAAAGAGGTTTTATATCTTTCTAATGTTTCAAGACGGGTCTGACATGTTTACTGACATGTGACGGAAACCTTACTCCAATGTTTTAGGGTCGTTTATATTTTCTATTTGCATCATTTCAATTTTATTTCAGTTATCACTGGTTCCTGTATTTAGAGCAATGCCAAACAATATATACGACGCCACGAGCTTATAATATTTAGAAATTTGGCGATAGCTAAGTCATAAACACTTAGTTTTTGTGGAATTACTTGACCCACAGACGTCTGACTGAAAATTGGAATGGTGCTATCACATATAATTTTTTAGAAAACCTCTTTACAATCCCTTTAAGAGGAAATAAATACAATTTGCTTATTCTTAAGATTAAATCTCAAAGATTTTCTAACATAGTCACACAAAAAAGAATTCAAAACTTTAAAATTGCACCACACTGTACTTCTGAAAGAACCAAAAGTACCAAATTCCATTAAAATAACCTTCAGTATGAATGAAATGACCTACGACTATATAAAGGACGTAACATCTCACAGTCTGAAATAAGTGTCACAATTAATATATTACAAGATACAAATGAGTTGAGAACATAAAATAAAATATAATTTATAGTTAACCACAAAACATTCTTATGGGTACATCCTCCTTAAAAAAATAATTGAAATTTAAAGTTACGCAATAACTTATTACTGTGAATATTTTTACAACGATATTTTCAAAATTGATCATAATACATCAAACTAATAAATCTGTTGATTCTTCTGAAATAATAGCCTATCAATCTGTGACAGTGAATAAACTACTTGTATATCCTATGAGTTTATCTTCTCCACTGCATGTCTTTATATATTATATAACATTCTTGTATTATGTCATCAATTAATGTCACATTTGACTTCTGAATTTTTTGTGTAAGAATTTTCAGAGAATTTCAAGTATTTACCTGTAAAAAGAGGTGTAATAAAAACTATTTGCTCTGATATATCTTGGTACAGGCAGACCAACAGTCTTGGTCGACTATTTTGTCACCGACTCGAATCTTGAGTGAAACTTGTGTGTCCATGTTCAAAATTTGAGCCTTCAAATCCATGTGTATCCATAATTATTCATGTTTGAAAGTTAAAAATTTGACTCGAATTTTAGTGAGACTATGTCATATATAGAAAACACATATATAGGAATAGACAGTGAAATTTCTAGTTTGAAGTACACATGACTTAAGATAACATAAAAAACTGTGTCTTCAAATCAAATCTGATACAATTTAACTAAATCAAGGGCCATAAGTCAAAAACCATGTATCTCATTATTACCAAATTCAAACTTAATCAAGATTTCAATATATACAAGTTTCATCAAAATATTACAAAAACTGCAGCCTGTATGATGTTTAAATACACATAGGATGTACTTCAAATAACTGCAGCGCTCTTGTAGTTTCAAATTTCATTCTGAACTATTCATTGATACATGCCAAGTAACATCTCAATAATATGATACAAATCTTCACTAACAAATTACCAAGTAGTATAGTTGATTAGAAACATGATCTACTTCTTGATAAAAATTATTTAAAGATGGTCTTTCTTTTCTCCAGTTTTCTAAACCTCAACTACCTAAATATATATTATACTGAATTTTACAAATATAAATATAAATATAATCTAAGACATCATTAATTTACATATGCATACATTGTTTCATCAAATTTAGATCACCTGTACCTTTATCACATTCACAATGCAATTGCTGTATCTGTCCACTTTCTAATATAAAATATATCATATCATTTGCAGTATTTTGATTTTTTTTATTGATATTTCAGTTATCACTGACTTGGTGGAATGGAAAATAAAAATGATGCAAATAGAAACTATAAATTTCTCTAGTGTAATTTTTGTTAAATCTTGCACATCAATATCATTCATGACTTACAAAATTAGGACTTGATCTTACCTTCTACAGGTAGTCTTGTCAATAAGTGAGTATATAATATTAACCACCAAGTAACTATATAATACTATTACTATCTATAGATAATAGGTTCTTATAACCCGTATATAAGTCTTTACCATTGTAAGCATAACTTACGGTAAAGCCTTTTAAAGCTGGTCACATAGAGGGGAGCAGAATGCATGCAAAACTTTATCTGCCAGATATCTGGTTTCAGATAAAAAATAAAAGTATAAAATTAAAAATATATATCAGACTTTATCAAATATTAAAATATCAAAGTGTTTTCAAATCAGAAGATTAAAATTAAAAAATTGCATTAAAGCTGCTGTTGTAACCAACTTCATTTTCTGAATACGTTGGACAATCATTTATAAGTTTAGAGAATCAGAAAAAGAAAACATCATTGGAAGTGTAATCTAATAAAATATAACCAAAAAGAGAGTGAATTTAGCCAATTATGACACATGTAAACTAACTGAATTGATGAAACCTACATCATAAATCAGGTCCACTGTCATGTACAACAGGTTTTGAGATATTTTAAATAAGAAATCACGCTGAAGTTTGACAAGTTTAGTTTGCTAAATTAAAATTTCTTGAAAAATCTCACTGCCTATTCAATCCAAGCTATATTTTATATATTTTTATGGCAGAAAATGACCTCATTACAAGGGTTTAACTGTATATATCACGTTATCAATCTTTGGGGTTTATCAGATTTTTATCACTTTGCTATCATTAAGTAAATCCATCAATCTCTCTCTTATTAATCTATGTCATATTTCCTTATAAATCACATTTTTATCCAAATTTCTGACAGACATCAAACTGATCATATTTGTCAGATCTCTTTTAGGGCAACAGAAAAAAACTTGCAAGTGACAGAAAGTCATGTTTTCAGTAGTATAGTTCAAGGTTTTGATGCAGCTGACCTATTTTAATATCCTATGTGGGAGCCGCGGTGGCAGAAAGTCCACGGTTCAATCCCAGCATAGATCAAGATAATTCCTTTTCCTCGTCAGTGGCAGGTATGAGGGGCTGACATGGAAAAAGCGTCTAGTCGTTCGGATGGGACAATAAACCAAGGCCCCGTGTGCTACAGGCTGTGTATCATAAAGATCCCTTGACAGTTGGAAAGTATGGTGTTGTTGGTCTTCATCAGCCCAATAAGATGCAAAAGAGAAGGACATAAAATTCCATTCATTTCATTTTCATAATCGTATCCTGTCTTACTAAACCATCACAAATTTTTATTATTTTTTTTAATACTTTTTCTTATT